AAGGAAAGGAAAGGAAAGGAAAGGAAAGGAAAGGAAAGGAAAGGAAAAAAGGAAAGATCCTTAGGTGGGCTGCTGTTGAGTTCCAAAATAATCCATTCACATGATCCAGTATGAGACTATTAGATACTTAATCACAAATAGACCTATGAGACACATATGGAAATGTTAGATCATTCAGACCAATTAGGACTTTCAGCAAGTACAAACGTCAGCATGGTATAACTATGGATAACCTGTAGGATCTCATGGTTTATAGATCTTATCTTTCCATTTTCAAAACAGGAGTAGCAATAGAACCACCACTTGTGAAAAAAGGAAGAAATGTCAAGGGATTCAAGCACTAACATGATTCTTATGTTGATTGTCTGTTATTTTTATTTTAGGTTGTAAAATGAAGCCGTGGACTGCTTGGTCAGAATGCACCAAACTGTGTGGGGGTGGAATCCAGGAGAGGTTTATGACCGTCAAGAAGCGTTTCAAAAGCAGTCAGTTCACTAGCTGCAAAGACAAGAAGGAATTAAGAGCCTGCAATGTTCATCCCTGTTAGCAAACTGAAGTCTTTTGGATAATGCACTCCTAAATGTAAAAAAAAAAAAATCAACCTCGGTTTGATTTTTTTTTTAAAAAAAGAGAAAATATATAAATTGTGTATATTAGTCTTCATTTTTTGCAGTGTGGTTTGCTTAATTAGTCTTGCTGGTGCAAGAGATCTATTTTATAAATACTTCCTTACAAAGAACTGCTGAGAGTAGCTCCTTGATGCTCCAGCTAGCCCTTAACGCATAAAACTAGTGAAGTCATTGTGAAATCTTATAACACTGAAATTATAGACATATCTGTGTGGACAAATCATAACCATAGAAATAGTCCCTGTAAATACTTGGGATGCATGCAAAAATGATACTGCAAACTTAAATATTTGGAAACCATTTTCAAAATATTGAAAGCAGTGCCTCTGTGTTTATACAGCTGTGCCAAGGAATTACTTCAATAATACTACAGGTGCATATTGATCTTTAACCATCAGCAATGTAAAAAAAATGGTATTTATAGCAATCCTTTGATAATATCGCTTTTCTTCTTCATGCAATTGCTTAGACCCCTATTAAATAAATCACCTTGTGATTGTTTCCATTAAGAAAGGAAAGCAAACATAAGCTGCCCAGATGTGAAGAGTAGGGAGGAACAATTTTCTATCTGTAAGCCATATGTCAATTAGTCAGTAAGCTGCATTTAAAAATATCTTCCATATTCTCTCACAGTCGTATGCTAGGTCAAGGATTGGCAGCCTTAAACACTCAAAGAGCCACAAAGGTCCTAACCAGAAGACTCTTCTTCAATTCTGGAGCTGACTGGAAGTCCAGTTCCCCCACCATAGAGTCTCCTCCTAGTGCAGCCTCCTTTTTTCTTTTACTGACTGGCAACAGGGAGCTGCAGCAGAGTGATGAAAGAGCCACATGTGGCTCCAGAGCCACAGGTTGCCGACCCCTGTGCTAGGTGATAAGGTACTGTAAAATATCCTCCTTTTACAGGTTCTCCTTGCACACAACATAGCTAGGAAAATACATTTCAGAAGCTTGAGGGGAAATTGTGGACTTTTACAGAGTTAACCAGCGTAAATAATATAAATACTCACAAAAGATGTGAATCTACCCAGTTCTAGAATAGCTGATCTTATTCTGTCCACCAAGTCCAGGAAGAACTAAGGAGCGTTTTAGTTTTGTTTGCCTCAGAATTTACTTTTGCTTCTTTGTCACACAACTTAATTTGGCTTTATTCCTCTCACATAAATGTCACTGCATTCATCATCTTTTTGCTTTATTTTTCTACTCTGTAACTCCATGGTCATAGTGAACAAAGCACGTGCAGGAAATAGCTGCTTCGTGGGAACATGGTATTACTAATTTCCAAGCATGCACACCCCTACTCACAAAGAGCAAAGGAAAAAGCATAGCTATTTGAAAAATGTCATGAAGTTGAAGGATTAGATAAATGCCAGTACCACTGACAGGTTCCTTAGGGACATCTTAGGAATGAAGATGAAAGCTCCTATATTTGTATTATAAAATATTATTACAGGCTTATAGCTTGAACTTTTAGATTTCAGCTTCCATAATCCCTAGTCAACACAGAGATGGTTGAAAAAACTGCCATCAAAAAAATCAGATTGTCTGTCTGCAATTTAACACGTAACTATGTGACATGTCTTTGCAAATGAAAAACAAGATGATTTAAAATTAATAAATGCCAAATGCCAGTAGGAATTAGTTTCCAGAACAGAAAAATTTAACTTAAAAGCATGAAGCCTGCTTATGTCAAGCAGGAATTGGGTTAATATGTTTACAGAATTAACTGGCTTGGCCTTTTTAGATAGCAGAAATCCTTAGCCTCTTAGAGGCACAAGGGTGGCCATAGGGAAAGGTTTTTAGTTTCCAAAGATTAGCAGTATTCTTTTCCCCCAAAGATTTATATACAGGTACATATAATTTCATTTACCATTTCCATATGACCACACAATCTTCTTTTTTATGAAGTTTCCAAAGTTTCCCCATCTAAATCTAGATAAGGCTATGGCTCAACTAGCTTGCTAGAAATGTACCCTCATAAATTATATTACAATTATTGTACTTTTTCATTCTGAACAGCCAGCCATTTTTAATGTTAACTCACCCCAAAACACTGGAGTCCAAGGCACAGAGCGAACACAGGAGTTATATAGGTCCAGGATATGGGCAAGTATAGAGCAGAAACATCTCAAAACAGCAAACATTTTCCAAGTTGCTATCAGTGTTGGGATCTCCAGTCTTCAGATATCAAAGGTTCTGTTGTTTTATGATGATAAATCAGTTATCCATCCAATCAAAATATGCATGAAATGTGTATACTCCTGATGGATTTAACTGCAATAAACAGTTCCTTTTATGCTGTGATTTATTGAATTTTGGTGACTGTCTTAGAAGAGTGTTGGCTCTGGTGAACTAAGTGCAAACATGCCTAATTTCAGAGGAATTCCAAATTGGTATTTCACCGGGGGCAATATTTGACTGATAGAATATGGTTGCACAGTTGCCTTTAATTTCTTTAATGTCTAATAGTATTATGAATGGTTGGCTAACTTTTCAAAGGATTGCTATCAGAACGCATGACAAAGCTTGCAGATGAATATAATTGCCATCTTATATCAGTAGTTGTCCCAGTTCATACTGGAAAAAAAAAGAAAATATTCTAATTTGTTTCAAAGGGGTTTTTGTCTTGAAGCTTGTGACATTTCACAGAATAATATATAAAAACTATCAGAAGGAAATGAAGGAGGGGGGAAACAGAAGAAATCTAATCCAATTAAAGTTATTCCATTCTTTTAATTATGGACTTTAATTAAGATTGCCTTGTACCACTGAATTTAGAGGAATTTAATTATATCTAATGTATTGAAACCCTTAAGATTTCTTTGTTAAGAAATGAACCCATTGTGATATGGAATGCATATTTCTGAATTGCTACAAACCTTGTAGTATAATGTTGGTTCCAACAACATTATGGAGGGTTTTTGATTTTTTTACAATAATTCATGTCTCTTGCACACTTGAGAACCAAAACGCAGGTATACAGTAGCTATAAGAATTTTATACACCTCACTGATCATTTATTAACATTGGTATATCTTCTTGTTCCTCTTTGTTGTTGTTGTTTTTTAAAAAATAATCTGTAGAAACTTTACAAGCAATGAACAGAAATGCTGGGGCAGGGGGGATTATATGTACAATAGGTTTTAATAAAAGCTACTTGGTTTTTTTTAAAAAAAACCAGAATAGACCTTCTTTGATTTTAAGTTTTCTTGTTATTTTGGGTTCGCAATGAAATTTTTGAGAAAACTGTTATGGATATATTTCCTACCAAAGTCTTGTGTAGATGTTTTGTATGTAGTTGTCTGGCTAACACATTATTATTTTGGAATAAAGACATCTTTACTATGAAAACAAAAACATGCATGTACTTTAGTTTAATAGTACAGCATCAGATTAGAAGGGACTGCCAAAACTCTCTCAAAATACATGTCTTCCGGTCTCAGCTAACTCTTCCTGAAATATGTTAGCACAATACAACATTGCGATAAGACTCTTAAATAGGATCTTGACAGATCTGAACATTGGGTGCTTTCTAACAAAATGAAATTCAATGCTGGAAAAAGTAAGGTTCTACATTTAGGCAAGAAAAACAAAATGCACATGCACAGTATAGGTGGCACCTGGCTCAATAGTAGCAACTGTGACAGGAGTCCTTGTAGACAATCATTTAATATGAGCTAGCAGTGTGCTGCAGCTGCCAAAAAAGCCAACACAGTTCTAGGCTGCATAAACAGAGGGATAGAATCAAGATCACATGAAGTGTTAATACCACTTTATAATGCCTTGGTAAGGCCACCCTTGGAATACTGCATCCAGTTTTATACCAGAATGTAAAAAAGATGTTGAGATTCTAGAAAGAGTGCAGACAAAAATGATTAGGGAACTGGAGACTAAAACATATAAAGAACGGTTGCAGAAACTGGGTATGTCTAGTCTAATGAAAAGAAAGACTAGGTGGTGGGGGTGACATGATAGCGGTGTTCTGATATCTCAGGGAGAACAGGGAGTCAAGCTATTCTCCGAAGCATTTGATGGCAGGACAAGAAGCAATGGATGGAAACTAATCAAGGAGAGAAGCAACTTAGAACTAAGGAGAAATTTCCTGACAGAACAATTCATCAGGAGAACTTCCCTTCAGAGGTTGTAAATGCTTCACCCCTGGAAGTTTTTTTTTTTTTTAAACAAACATAAACAAACAAAACATAAAAACATCAAGCCATCTTCCATATATATATATACATACAGTGTGCCGGTTGGTTTGCAAATTGTTTTGTGCTTCCATTTCGTAGTCTTCAATTACAATTACATTGTATATAATCTTGTATTTTCAATCAAATATTAAATACATTAATAACATTATTAATCAATCGTTTGACTATACTTTTATTCATTCATGTTTTACGAAATAATCCATATTTTACTTAATTTGTTATATGACAGTTCATATTATCATCCCAAATCTATCCTAGAATCATTTTGTAGATATAATAAGAAAAGAATACATCTTTATATATTTATTATTTTATAAAAGTCTACATATTTCATTACTATATTTTATTGTCTAACCACTGATAGAATAGATCCCAAATTTTATAAATTTGTTTATCATCTTGTTCTCTAATTTCAAATGTCAATCTACTCATTTCAGCACATTCCAAGATTTTCTTAATGATTTCCTCCTGTGATGGTGTTTTCTCATTTTTCCAGTTTTTAGCAAATACAATCCTAGCCGCTTTTAATACATTTACAATCAGGTATTTCAAGTCATTACTATATATTTCAGGTAAAATTCCCAATAAAAATATCTCTGGTTTCAAATCTATATGTATTTTTGTCATTTTTTCCAATCACGTGTGGATTTTAGTCCAGTATTTTTTAGCATCCGCACAAGTCCACCACATATGGTAATATGAGCCAGGTGTCTGATGACATTTCCAACATTTTTCGGATTTATTCTTGAACATTCTTGCTATTCTTGCCGGGGGGAAATGCCA